TGGTTCCACATAGAACGAGGAGGCTGCAGCAGAGCAAAAGCAGCACATTTTAAATCATTTTATTGGAAATAATAATAAATAATGATACCAACAATTGGAAAAATGAGATCTTGTTATTGGCCAAGCCGATACTCAGGAAACTCGTAGGTTTTGGGGGCATGCTTCTGTGGTTTCGTGTCCTAGATTTGAATTTTCTTGTGGTTTTGATCCAATTCGTGATACGGCATTTACTACAGATCATCTGCAGACGGATTTATCTCGTTTACCCCGACATCTAAGCAACCTCTTTCTGTGTCAGCCGAGAATGAAACCATTTTGGTTCTGTGTTGCCTGAATTTTGCTGATTCCCAACTGACCACCAGCTCTATCAAACAAACTCCAACTTTCTCTCATCACTCCATTATCATCATTTCTTGTTTTGCTTCCTAAACGCTGTGTCTCAGCCCGATGACACGTCTGCACAAAACCAGTCCATCGAGAGTCATTTATTTTTATAGCACTTTTTAAAGACGAGCGCTGACGAAAACTAAATAAATGAAATAGCACAAATTAGTCGAGGTGTAGTTATAATGATGAACGATAAATAAAAAAAAGCAAAATCAATAAAATAAATTGGGAAATATTACACCACATAAATTAAGGGTATCAAAACGGAACACATTATTTAAATAAGACAGGATGAAATAAATTAGAATGACGATGAGACAAGAAGTATAAAATTATAAAAACCATGCATAAAAGTCAGGCTGAATAGACAGGTGTGTGTATTTCCAGCATCTGAGAGCAGAGCAGCAGAAAGCAGTATCGCCGATGTGTGTTTGGGTTTGTTTTTTTGTGGAGCAGCTGAAGGAGGAGAGATGAACGATCTGAGGTCCTCTGTGGTTCATAAACCAAAAGCATTTCATAGAGGTAGTCTGGTGCAAGGCCAGGCAGTGCCTTATAAACTTAACATAAATTTAAAATCAATACTAAATCTAGCAGGTAACCAGCGTGAAGACTTTAAAACAGGTGTAATGCGCTCGCCTTTTGGTCTTAGTCAGCACTTAGTTATGAATGGACTGCTGCTGATTTATTGTCGTCCTCCGTCGAGCAGAAAGGAGAATATTACAATAGTCTCGCCTGCTAGCGTCTCTGTGTTGCTCAGAGAGAGAAATGGCCTCACTTTGGAGATACTAATGCTGTTTTTGTGACGCCCACCTCGACGCCTTGTTTACATCCAGTTTTGCCCTGCTTTGTCTGCATCAGTGAAGTTCAGCTAGTTTATCTATAAAGGATAACAAATAACCAGGATACTTGAAAATCTGATCGTGACTGTTTGCTGGTTGGTCAGACAAAGTGCTTCTTCAGGTTGGACTGAAACATCTCAACAGGTAATAAATGGACTGAAGCTGACGTTGGTGATTTTGAGCATCATGATGATGGTCTTGGTGGATTTTCAGGATGAAATATCCTTTAAGTTTCCATATTGTGGTGCCA